TTGTTTTTTTCCCTTACAATTTAAATTCCTCATCTTGAAGAATATAACTAATTTGATTCCGTTCAGAAACAACGAACTGAAAACATGTTGATTCGCATGATGTTTGGATTTTTGTTTTCCTTATAACTCGTAAAATCTTTTCTTTGACGCGGTTTCAAGACTTTGACGTTGATAAAATGTGAATATGTGTACATGTCCACCTTCCCCTCTCACGTCGACGGTCGACAACTTTCTGCAAGTCTTCCAATTTCCTTCCATTTATATCACTATATGCACTTTTTCCCCTCAACCTATTTATACGCTAATCTACTCATTTTAAATACTTTTCAATAAAGATCCAATTTAAGATTAATTTGAAAGCTACCAAGTTTTATTTATGATTGGAAAAGGATGCCTAACCAATAACAAGAATGACTTTCATTTGCATTTTGATTTATTAAAATCCTGAAAATAATTATGTTGGTCCTAGACACAAAACTAAAATATTTCATTCCCCCACCATCATCATATAATAGAAGTTTAGAAATGTTTAATTTGAATTTGGTTCAGTTTTAATTCTTTTTTTTTTTGGTTTTAGAAATTCTTAACGAATATAAAGACAGCTATAGATGAAGCGATGTTGATGCGGATTTGATCTTTAATTAAACAGCTCTCAATTTTTACAAGAATTTAAGTTTTATTTCGATTAAAATTTGGTTTAATGTCTCTTATCTATTTACAGTTTAAACAGTTGAACATTTTTTTTTTTTTTTTGAATTGACAAGGCCCGATCAATAGGCAATCTCTACTACGCGGGGTAACGCGACTTACTGGAGTCGAACTTCGGTGGAGAAGGCGGAGTCAAATGGACTTAACCACTTGACTAAAGACACATCTCTATAACAGTTGAACATTTTTAACCATAAACAAATACATTCTTTGGATCGACTATTCAGTTACATTTTCGGTTCGGTTTATCCAAATTACTCACCTTTGCATAAGATTGTTTATATTGATGAATGAACTACCTAACGTATGAGAATTAATATTTAGAGCATTTGTGGAAAGTTTAGGCCCCCTTTATATCACTATTGGACTATAAACCATATTACCCATATTCTATAATGGGCTTTAGAAATATAAGAAAACTGTTGTATGGGTCCTAAAATTCAACACCTCGGCCCATACGTGAGTTATATAAAATGAAAATTCAAATAAATAGTTAAGTAACTCCACCGGTTATAAGATGCAATAAATAGACATGTATATCTCCTAACCAGAAAAGAAAAATGAATATTGGACAGCTTCACGATTTAATAACACAGCACACCCAGTAGAGAAATAATCATAAATATGCGGCCCATATGTCACATCCTGACACAGTCCACTGCTTTTAATTGTCCCTTTTACCCTTTTTACTATCTTATTCCTAACGTGACAAGTACAGCATTTAATAGTCTATCTATCTTTCCATAAACTTAACATAGTTTTGTATTACAAGTCAAATATCAAAATATGCAGGTATTAATTAGGTGGTTAATTGGGGTAAGAAAATAAAAATCCTTTAAATTTGTTATCTTACAATAGAAAAAAGTGAAAACTTCCTTATCACTCGCCTTAAAATATGGTCACATAAAAAATCAACGAGACTTGAAAATAGTGGCAATTCTGTAAATTCGTAGTGCTGATAAGGGCATTTTCATGTCGTTTTTTAAAAGGTCATAAAAATAAAACTCTTTTCGGGAAAATCTACACACGTTTAAATACGCACATCGAAGTACACCGATTTTGATTTGCTCTGTCTTGGAAAACTAATCTTAAAAAAACAAAACACAGAACTGTCAATTTTAGTCTTATTGAATTGTCTTCAAATTTCGATCATTTTCATTTCTAATATTAATTTGTTTCTCGAAGAATTTGATAATGGAGGAGACGCCGAGATCAGTCGGCGAAGCATCGACGACTAATTTCGTGGCGGCTAGACCGTCGGCGAAGACCGATGCAGTGACGATGAGAGGTTGTGGTTTTGCTAATCTTGCCTTGGTTGGTATAGACAGAGAAGAGCTTCGAGGGAGACTAGCGATGCCTGAGTATCTTCGTCTAGCTATGAGAGATTGTATCAAGAGGAAAGATTCAACAGAGATTCCTGATCATTTGCTACTTCCTGGCGGCGCCGCCGCAGAGATGGCTCCTCACGCACCAATGGTTGTGTTTATTAACCCGAAAAGTGGAGGTCGTCATGGTCCTGTTCTTAAAGAGAGGCTTCAACAATTGATGACTGAAGAACAGGTCAGTTTTTTAAGATACAACTTTTTTTTTTTTTTTTTGTAACTTATGAAATGAGCTCACTTAACTTTTGAAATGAACTTGAGATCATATTTTTGTTTGAAGAAGATTTAAAATCTAGATTTGGGTTTACTTTCTGTTTGACTTCACTGGATTTTGGTTAGATTGTGAATGGAATCACTCTGCTTTGGTTTTGGGTTTAGTGGGTTTAGCTAGGACATTCTTGTTGTTCTGAAATGATCAAATGTTCTGTTTTTTTTCTTCTCTCATCTTGTTTAGGAGAAGTTATAAACTGTTTTGTTTAAAAGATTGTGATTCCAGTGTTTTTGATTAGCTGATGTTCTTGGTAGTAAAAGTTAGAACCTTTGTTGTCATGCAATAGTACAAACTTTATTTCTTGAATTGTTGTAAGCAAATTTTTGTTGTTGTTTGAAGGGTGACATAATTTGGAGTTTTGTGAAGTTATTCTTTGTGTTTTTTTTGGTATTTGTACCTAGTTTGTGAGCTCATGTTAATTTTTGCAATGACAGGTATTTGATCTCACTGAGGTGAAGCCTCATGAATTTGTACGGTACGGTTTGGGGTGCTTGGAGACATTGGCATTGAAAGGAGATGAATGTGCAAGAGAATGCAGAGAAAAGATGCGTATCATGGTGAGTATTTATGCACTTACTTCCAAAGAAGTAGTTAGCAATTGGAATTAGATTTGTTAAGTTAGATGTGATTATGGTGATAGGTAGCAGGTGGTGATGGTACCGTTGGCTGGGTTCTTGGATGTCTCGGTGAGCTTCATAAAGACGGAAAATCACATATTCCTCCTGTTGGAGTTATCCCTCTCGGTACAGGAAATGACCTCTCCAGGAGTTTTGGTTGGGGTGGTTCATTCCCTTTTGCTTGGAGATCTGCTATGAAAAGAACATTACATCGAGCAACTTTAGGTTCCGTTTCTCGATTAGACAGCTGGAAGATTGTAGTGTCAATGCCATCTGGAGAAGTCGTTGATCCTCCTTATTCTTTGAAGCCTACAATAGAGGAAACTGCACTTGATCAGGCTTTGGATGCTGATGGAGATGGAGATGTACCTCCTAAAGCAAAGTCTTATGAAGGAGTGTTCTACAACTACTTTAGCATAGGTTTGGATTCATTAACTAACTTTATCTTTTCATTATTTTAATAAATTTCTACAAAGTTAACCTTTTGAAGTAATTTGGTATTTTCCTTGTGTTGTCAAGGTATGGATGCTCAAGTTGCATACGGATTCCACCATCTTCGCAATGAGAAACCGTACCTAGCTCAAGGCCCTGTTACAAATAAGGTTGTTATATATCAGAATCTTCATTCTTGTCTATGTTGCGCTACTTAGATGTTTTTTTTTTCGGTTTGTAATGAGATTATGAATCACACTCGTTTCGGTTTTTGCAGATTATATATTCAAGTTACAGTTGTACTCAAGGTTGGTTTTGCACGCCTTGTGTCAACAATCCAGGTTTAAGGTTAGCATTTCAAGTGAAGAGAGTAAACTAAAAGCCTTTTCTTTTCCCTTTTTTTTAACTCAATTCCTGTCTCTTGTTGTGTTGACATGTTGTGGTAAGATGAATTTGCAGGGGACTAAGAAACATAATGAAAATCCACATTAAAAAGGCAAATTGCTCCGAATGGGAAGAGATCAATGTCCCTAAAAGGTACACAAAAACTAATCTTATCATTGATTAAAAAACTTAAAAAATGGCTTCACTTACAATCTCTCTGGTTTGGTTTTGTGTAGTGTGAGATCGATTGTGGTATTGAATCTTTATAACTATGGAAGTGGAAGACATCCATGGGGTAATCTCAGACCAAAATATTTAGAGAAGGTAAATTTTTATTCAGTACACTAATCTTCGGGTTTATCACTTTCTCCACAAGCTTTAACAGAACGGTTTTCGGGTTTTCTATAACAGAGAGGATTTGTGGAGGCGCATTGTGACGACGGGCTGATAGAGATATTCGGTTTAAAGCAAGGTTGGCATGCTTCATTTGTAATGGCTCAAATCATCTCAGCTAAACACATTGCTCAGGTACAAAATATACCCGCAGTTTCTCTATAACGAACTGGTGTAACCTCGGTTTGATCTTCAACCGTTTATCGTTTCAGGCGGCTGCTATTAGATTTGAACTAAGAGGAGGTGATTGGAAAAATGCGTTCTTGCAAATGGATGGTGAGCCATGGAAACAACCGATGAAGAGTGATTATTCGACATTTGTAGAGATCAAAAAGGTTCCTTTTCAATCGTTAATGATCAACGGCGAATGATCGAGGAAACTCTTTTATATCTTTCGCATTATCGAGAAGTTGTAAAAGAAAGAAAAAAAGAGGCTGTTTCGTTCTGTATTTCTGTTCCATCAATTAGTCAAAATAGTGATCTATGTTCAGCTTTTGCTGCTACTGTTGTTGTTGTGCTAGTGAATCATTTAACTTTGTGTAATTTATTAAAAAGATGGTAATCTAAAGGTGAAGTTTCAGTATTTTTATTCAATTAAGATTCAAGCAAACGTCTTCAGGTAGACTCAATTTCTTGTTTTGAAATATTGTAAACATGATGATGTTTCTTTCTTTAAACTCTGTTTCTTATGTTTTGGAGATAGGAGTAATGGGTCTACAAAGTCAACAGATTTCGGAGGACTAAAGAGTAAAAATATATATAAAAAAGTTGAAAAGTGAAAATATTTTGCTCTCGCTACTAAGAGTAAGAGAGAAAAATCAGAAAATCGAATTAGAAATTGATATTGCAAGTTTTAGGGTTTTAGAAAATCTTCTTCACTGAGTTTTCGAGCTCCGAAGAACACTTGCAACTTCAGCAACCATGGCGAGCACCAAAGTTCAGAGGATTATGACCCAACCCATTGTAAATTCTTCAATTTCTCTTTTACTAATTTGATTTGTTTTTTTTTTCTCTTGTTTCTTCTATTTAGTTCACTGACTCTGACTTTTGGTTTCTTTACTTTTGATTTCAGAATCTGATTTTCAGATTTCTCCAAAGTGTAAGTTTTTCGATTACTCTGTTAATTTTCGTCACTTGTAACTCTATTTGGGAAGAGGGAACCATAGAGTTGTGAGATGTGTACTTATATAGAGTCTGGTTCTTATAATGCAGAAAGCTCGGATTCAGATTTGGCTTTTTGAGCAGAAAGATTTGAGGATTGAGGGACGAATCACTGTAAGTCATATCCTGTTTCGAGCTTAGCTCAAATTTTTGAACTTTCTTGCTTTGTTGATAGGTTAAACTAGAAAATTTGACATACTTGTGTTAACCTTACCTGAGAAGTAGAGATTGATCTTTAAAGCTAGAATTTTTAGGTGAAATTTCTAACACTTGGAATTTGTCATATAATGTTGGTTCCATTTCTTGTTCGAAGTTTTGGTACCACTGATTTATTTACACCATGGAGCTAAACTCTGTACATTGTTTCATATTAGTAAAGGACCCATTGATAGCAATTAGTTCGATTCTTTCTGTGAAGCTTATGATTTAGTTGACGTTGAGTGTTTCATTGTTCCGTTATTTTAACTTTCATTGTGCAGGGTTTTGATGAGTACATGAATTTGGTGCTGGATGAGGCTGAGGAAGTGAGCATCAAGAAGAAAACCAGAAAACCACTTGGTGAGTTGTTTTACGACTCTCTCAAATTACTCTTCTACAAGGCTCTGGTTCACATTTCTCATATTGTTATGTGTTTCCGTAATGGTTGGTGCTAACACTCACGCAAAAACTGGATTTCAGGAAGGATTTTGCTTAAAGGAGACAACATAACTCTGATGATGAACGCGTAAGTATTATCATCCTCTTTTAAAGATACAAACTTTACAAATCAGTTTGCATTTATAGGTAACAAAAAAATTGAAACTCAATCCTTCTAATATCTTATTACAGGGGCAAGTGATGTCTGTTGCAGTGGAAGGAATGATCTAACTATAAGGGATGGTTTAAGAGTTCTTGTTCCCTTCTTGTTTCTTCTGTTGGGGGAAAACTTGTCTTTCTGTTGTTTACTTACTGTCAAATTGAGATATTTCACTTTGCAATTTTTTTTTATGAGAAAAAAGTTTCTTCAAAAAAGCCTTGCGTGTTAACAACTAGACGACATAGAAAACTCAAATCCAAGAAGATTGTAGTTGTTAAGAAATGTCTAATATTTGGTTAAGATTACGGTCCAAAATCTGAGATTAATATGATTGTTAGTCTTATTAGCCAAAAGAAGGCTCCCACATCAAACACACATAAGAAAATGTTTGGAAAACATACGTTGTGTAGTTTTGCCCATCTCACGTTAAACTTAAACCAACAAAAAAATACATTTGTATACAAAAAGAAAGTTAAAACACAAGAACAACCTCTTTTGGCATGAGTATTTCTTTAGATATACAAATAGATCATTCTCAATACGGCTTAGTACCAAGAAAATTTCCCGGCGGATCGTAATTGCAAGTCAAGAACACGCCTCCTCCGCCATTGCAGATCACGTGAGCACAGCCAATCTTCTGTGTTTTTTTCCACACGATTTGTGTGTAATGGCCACACATCTCGGAGTTGCACGAGTTGGATCTATAGTTATAGCTCCTTGCTTCGGACAACCATCCATAGGCGGCTTGGGCTGGACTCCATCTATTTCCTGAGCCCCAAAAGAGATTCTCACCATAGGGTCCATTGGAATGGATCAAGGCGCAGTCACGGCGTCTCTGGTTAGCCCACCATTGCGCATAACGGGCCAATTTGGCGTCCCATTTTAGCGGTTTGAGCCTTAAACGAGCTCTTGCTGCGTTTTGTGGAGCCATGAATTGTTCTTGGTAGGTTGCGCAATGACAACATGTTACAAGTAGTATCAAAGCCGTGATTGCAACCGAAACACAACTAATGTGTTTTATAGGAGCCATTTCGGGTGAGGCTTGAGCTAATGGTATTTGCTCATGGTTTTATATAAGCTTGGAAGAATCGTTGTTAGTATGATTTTTAAAAAATATTATAAGGGAGAAAGTGTCAACTCTATGATTAAGTGGTGTACATGTTCGATTATGATAGCCACACCTGAATTTGTTTTGAAATCTTAGCTTTTGTCTATAATTAAGCATGTATTCTAATAATTTATGTGTGTTTTAACTTATAGTTTATGCATAGTAGGTTGGTATATTAATATTATAGATTGGCCACCCCGAAAAAAGTCTTTAGGGTAAGAAGATTTAAAATAAAGAACTTTTCGTTAACAAAAGTATAATACTATTAATACACGATAATAAGTTTATTATTTGGAACTAAGTCAGCCAGCAGTATTTAGATATCGATGTTTCATCTTCTTTATTATTTACCTTTTGACATTATTGAAACAATATAGACTTTTTATTCATCAGGAGTGTTTACTTTTTTATAATAGAAATAATGTCTTAAGTGAGAACAAATATAACATGTAGTGACTAGTGATTTGTTACGGGTTTGGTTTCGGTAGCTCACACTGGTTTTTTGTTTTACTTCCAATTTCTCAAGTTTCAGAAACATTATTGTATTATTCTCTGCAGAATTGCAGATAGTCAAGAAGAGCAATCAAAGCCGATTATTATTAATATTTGTAAAAGTTGCAAAAGAAAGGTGAATGATGCTGAGAACTATACAGTTTTTGTTGATCAGAAACATTAAGCAAGAGCTTCGGCGATGATGGAACGGTGAGACAATTGCTGTTCGTAGAGGTTACGGAAAATACGGTATTTGGCATCGTGATACTTCGTAACCTTAGGGTCTGATGATGGATGGACAACCTGAGATTCATCAAAAAGTGATGCAGAATTGTCATCAGATTTGGAAAATGACATGATCAATGTATGAATTGGGTAATCAAGCAAAGTAGTTAGATCAGAGCATACTTGTCCAGCTGCGTTAAGAGCTTTCATGGCATCATGGAGACTCGGATAGTTCTTGCCAGCAACTGCTCCAAGAATTGCTGCTCCTAAGAGAACAGACTCGCTTTCTCGGGGAAGAATAATCGGACAACCTGCGAATAGATCAGTCCAGTAAGATTACTCCTGGGTTGGTTAGATATAGAAGAGGAAAATGAGTGTGATTAGTAAAATACCAACTATATCAGCATGTTCCTGGATGAACAATGGGTTCTTTGAAAGGCCGCCACAAGCAAGCAGTGTATCAATCTAACATCACATGTAGAGACAGAGAAAGATTTGTTTCCTGTGGAAGTGAATGTCTTGTACTGTTTCTATAGAACCGATGTGGGAAGAAAGGTGGAGAAACTTACTTTGTGACCATGAGCATTGCAATGCTCTACGATATGACGAGTACCATATGCGATTCCCTGGATTGTGGCGAGGTATAGAAGAGCCAACTGCTTTTCGGATGAGTCAAGAGACATTCCGAATATCACTCCTTTCGAATTTGGGTCAGCAACGGGAGATCTGTAACACAGATTTGAATCAATATAGCTCAAAAGGGAAGAAACAGAGCAGCACTCTCTGTTTTAGTCACCTGTTTCCATGAAAGTCCGGAAGGATGTGCATGTCTGAGGTAAGGGCAGATATAAATGGAGAACTCGTATCTTCAGCCATCGTTTTCAAAAGGTTGTTCAGGAGTTCAAACACAGAAACTTCTGCAAGAGATCGAGACAGTGGCAAGTGCAAAACAAACTATAAGACAACTATAGCATCCAATCAAATATTTCACCACGAGAAGTGAAAAGAGGAAGATTTTATACTCTGGGAAGCAGCACGATTTGCAAGACGGGGAGAAGCGACATGATTTTCGATGATGTGATCCAGTAAAGCTCCAGTAGCACTTTGTCCTCCTTCTGTAAGCCAATACTCCGGAACCATTGCTACAATAGTTGTTTGTTTTGGAGAAACAAAAGTGAGATTTCATATATCAAAAAGTAAGAATAGAAACCAAAAGTGTATGTACCTGACCAAAAAGGCCCCCACACGCCAGGAATAAACAGCTTTTCACGGGAAACAGCCATATGACAAGTTGATGTGCCACATACCAAGACCATTCGAGAGCACAAGGTATCCACATCTGACTCTGAAAATGCCAACTCTTAGAGACTTATCTACCACGTTATGCCTGCAATACTATAATAGCAAAGTATACCTTTCGTCAAGGAGTCTGAATCTGATTTACTTTCCATGACACCAACACCACCGGCATGAGCATCAATGAGTGAAGTCCCAACAGGAGTTCCAGCCAACAGACCCAGTTCCTGTGAAATGTAAATAATGAAAACAATAGGATAAAAGGCAAATATGTAACAGAATGAAAATATAAACCTAAGAAGTAAGCATTCTCTAAGACCTGTAGAACAAATAAAGTGCTTGCTCTTGTATCTAAACACCTCTATTTTCTTAATTTTAAGTGGTTGCTCTGTAAAAAACTTACCTTAGCAGCGGTTGCAGTTAGACCGTTACCCAGTGGATGTCCAGGAAAAGCCACACTTCGTCCTAATTAACAGTCGAAATAACATTGTTACAAGGTAAAAGTAGTGGTTTCACAGCTCCTCTAAGAGCCTTTCTTAACAGCTAAAGCAAACAGAACCAAAAATGCATACCGATCTTAGCATGGTGCCCATCTACCAAATCGCCTAAGCCAATTTCTTCCCAGAACTCATCATCCCATCCACACGCTTCCATATCACGAGAAGCCTTCTCACTCATCTGGTGCATGTGTGCATGGCCAAGATAAGTCCACTTACATACTGTGGTGCACAAACTACGTGTATCATCTCCAGTAGCTCTGGGAGGAAACAAAAGGAATCAGGGAGAGCAAAGACAATTATCTCAACAGGGCGATAAGGTTAAAAGAGCGAAAGGCCTGGCGGCACCTGTAGGACAGCCAGTCACTCAAGTCCATCCACTTATACACCATGGACCATGACTCCTTAAGATTTTCTTTCACCCATAGAAGCTGCAAAAGAAGAATCCTTTTTTCCGTCAAGCTCAAACAAGCTGAAAGCAATCACATAATGCATCCTTAAGAAACGTCAACCTACTTTTGGTGGCTCCATTTCTGGAGAAACACCGCCACCACAGTACTGCAAGACTGGAGAATTAAATGAGTTGATTCTCTCTGCCTGCTTTACAGCTCTATGGTCCATCCATACAATAATGTTTCTTCTTGAATCACCACTCCAAGACACTGTAACGGGGGATCCCTCAGCATCGACCGCCACTACAAACAAAAACAACGTTACATTGCTATTGTTAAAGTTTCTCTTCCTTAGCACCAAAAAAGAAACACAAAAGGGTTATAAGCAGATGCTACAAACCGAGAGAGCAGGTGGCAGCAAAGCCAATTCCTTTCACTTCGACTTCCGAAACATTTGCAAGAGAGCAAGCAGATTTCACAGCAGCACAAACTGCATGCCAAATATCGGTTGAAGATTGCTGTTCCAATAAAATTATGAATGTCAAAGTTAAATCTCTAAACAAATAAGTCATGACTTAGAAGCACATGAAATCGATCTCCCTTATCCAAAATAATTACCTCAACACAGTCCCCATCCTTCCAAATCTGTATCGGGCTACTAGCAGATCCTAGCAGCTTCCCATTTTCATCGAACAAACCTGCATCAAGTAATCAACTTAAGCTACAAACCAAATTTGCATTTCCTTAATTTGGAGCGATCGTGGAGCGATTGAAGTAAATTGTTCCGGTGCAAAAGAATCGATTATATAAGACTGATATCAAATTTCATCGCCACTAAATCAACAGGCATCATTCTCAGGAATCTAAGAACACCACAACTTTTTCAAAACTGACGAAATTTTAATTCGGAAAAAGGATTGAAGAGGATTACCGGCACGGGCGCTTCCAGTGCCAACGTCGACACCGAGAAAAAAGGAGCGAGACGGAAATGGATTTAACTCTGCGGTGGTCATCTGAACGGCGACGGCGAAAGCTACGGAGGTGAGCTCACTTTCCTTTATCTAATGTCATATTTTTTTTCATTAATTGTTTTTTTTTTCATTCGTTACGAAAAAAAAAAAAAAATTATGACGTAATTTTTGGATCACATGTTTAAATATTTAATCTTGCTTGATAAATGCATTTTTATGTTCAAAAAATAAGCTACTTAAGAGCACCTCCAATGGAAGGTTCTCTTCTATATTTTGATGAGTTTTCATCTGATTTTGGAAATAATTCAAAACTGAATAAAGAAGAGAGAATCGATTCTCTTGAGGGAGTTTTGAGATTTTGAGAGAGCCGGACACGTGTCAGTGTTCGATTGGAGGGAGTGTTTTAACAAAAGAAAAAAAAAACACTCAATTTTTTTAGTTCTCTCTCTCGTAAAAAAAAAAACTCTCTCTCTCTCTCTCGTTATCGCAACTGCGAAAAAAAAACTGATGAACAAACCTCAGAAACATCGCGATTTCCTGAGATTCCGATGAGTCGACGCCGGAATCGTGGTTTGTGAGACTTACCTGCCGCCGGGATCATCAGCTGGATTCACGGTAAAGACCATCGGCGAATGGAGTCAAAACAAATCGAAGATTGGCGATGGAGAAGAAGGATTCGTTGAAGGATGGTCCAATTTCTTGTTCCAGGTATGAATCTAGCCCGTTTCCCATGTGTATCGTGACTTAGTTCGTTGTATTTTGTGGTCTCGATAGAAATTAGGGTTTGAACAAAATTAGAGTTTTGATTTGTAAATTAGGGTTCTTCATTTTTAGCGACAATAGGGTGATTATTAATCAATTTGGAGGCTTTGTGTTTGTAAATTTTCCATGATTGTTGACGAATTTGTCATAGATTGTTTGATTTAGGGTTCATAGTTTCGGAGAAAAAAATTATAATTTGGTTTTGTCATTTGAGAATTATTTGGGGGCATTGAATAGCTTAGGGAGAGTTCTACAATTCAACTTAGGCTATTTTGGTTTCTGGGTTCTTTTTTATTTTGCACCATGTCTTGTTCCTTGATCGGATTCTGATTTTAACAGATTATGCTTTGCAAGTTAGTTGAGTCTTGAGATCTAATAGAGTAGTTTATTGAAAGAAGAGATAGAATTCCATAAATGGTTGTCTCTGTTTTCATATGATTTTGTCCTATAAATGGTTGTTGTCTTGTAACCAAAATTTTGTGAAAGAAGTGATAAAGTTTTGTGAATACCTTTAGGTCTTGTGGATTATTTGGATTTGTGACATTGTTCTCTTTGTTTTGATTGCTTAGTTCTATTGTGCATCTAGAGACTTTGTGACCCTTGTTCTAATCAAAGACAGTCAATTTTAAATATTCTAGGATTTTTGTTACCAATGTTGAGATGGATCTTTGTGGAGATAGCTTGATGCACCTACAGCTAGTATCCCATTGGCGCTTCAGAGTTTGTTTTACAAGCTTCAGTGTAACGACATTGGCGCTGACAAAGTCGTTTGGTTGGGATACATATGATTCTTTGTTCTCTTTAATGCTTTGTATCACTCACTCTCTTAAACACAAGCACAAAAATAACCTTGCTCTCTCATCCTCTCAAGTCTTTGGTTAGTTTCTTGTTTTATCACAAAGATATAAACGTTTTAGTTAGAGAGAAGAGAGAAAATATTAATTGTCTACATTTTGTTTATTGGATCACAAGATAATTCTTACAAGACACAACACACACATACTTACACTACATCTTTTACTTGCACCTCACATGAACCCATACTTTAAATCATACTTCCATGAATACAAGTACCAATCACCTCCCATGAATCAAAGAAAACATCAATTAAAAATGGAAGCTTAAGATTGATTGAAGATTCTTGTTCCACCAATGACCCGTGTTTAAACCTTTGTGCAATAATTATTGAGTTTTATGAAATAAAATATTTTTTTAAAAACATCAATATTTTTTTAAAAACAAAACTTTTGTTTTTGCACATCTTTTTAAAAATGTTTGAAATAATGTATGTTTAATATTTTCTGAAATGTAATAATTATTAAGTTTTATGAAAAAATATTTTAATTATTTTTTTTTTCTAAGAGAACCTCACTAGAGAACCTACCATTGGACTACAGAATTTTTTTTAAAAAAATAAAAGTTCTCATCTCACATTTTCAAAAAATTTATAATAAAAAACTTGAGAGAGACTCATGGAGAGAGCTCCCCATTGGAGATGCTCTTAGATTGAGATTTATGTATTTGGGTTCTCTGTTTACATAAAATGGATGACAATTAAAATTTAAAATTTTAGTAACGAGAGATGTTAAATAGTGTTATTAATATTATAATATTTATAGTAAAAAAAATTGGTTAGAAATTCATTTGATTATGTGAGTTTTGTGAATAGAAAGAAAAATCAAGATTAATGTTTAGAATTTTATATGATTTCATTATTTACTAAAAAATAGTCTTTAATTAAGGCTATATATGATTCAAGCCACGATAACGATTAACGACATTGGCAACTTAAAAGCCCAAATAAATCGAACGGCCCAATAGACGAACCCATCTCGCAATCTAACCCACGTGGCTTTCCAAATCCAACATGGCGAATTTATACGAATCGTTTTGAATAGTTTTGAGTAATGAATAAATCCAACATGTAAGACGATATCTTTGTAATATTAATTGATCGTTTCAAATTCCCAATTGATTATCTAGAATTTTGATGAAAAGATATTTGGTTTTTTTTTTTTTGGACAAAAGATATTTGGTTTTATTATTTAATCCTAGTTGTTTGATTTTGACAAAATGTTGATACCCTATATCTTAGAAAATGCGTCCAGTACCACGTGACCGTCTTAGTATCATACACATATACCATCTTTCGCTTCATGTGTTCACCATTTTATTTGTATTTGATATACAAGAAAAATAGTAAAATGAAGACAAGACACAATATTTCTAAATGGTGAGGTGCGAGTTAAGTACGGTGAACATATCATTATTATTCCGATTTTATCTACTAATAAGCTTCTCCATAGATGAAATTTGAGAATATTGTTAAATCATCTTTTAATAGATTTAACTCTGCGGTGGATGGATGAGACAGGTCACGTGGGTTGTGGGTAAGAATAGATAATCAAAAACGAAAAATAGGTCATTCGATCTTAATCAAACGGCTAGAGTTTTTCCAGTATTCATTGTCACGAATATTCTCTCATATAACTCTGTTCATCTTTTTTTTTTTATCAAAAATAACTCTGTTCATCAAGCTCCTGATTTCAAAGGCTTAAGCAGCTTTGCTTTCTCTTGAGATTTTTCATCAAGCTCATTATAGGTTAGAATATCATATGATTATGTAGTTTTATAAATAGAAAGAAAAACAAAGATTAATGTTCAGAATTTTATATGATTTCATTATTTACCCTTTTGATATGTTTCAAAGATAATACTAAAAATAGTTTTTATATGATTCTAGCATACCGACACTGACAATTAAAAAACCCAAATAAATAGAATGGCCCAAAAATATGATTTCATTATTTACCTTTTTGATATGTTTCAAAGATAATACTAAAAATAGTTTTTATATGATTCTAGCATAATAGTTTTTATATGTTTCAAACTTTCTTTATTCAATGTAGAGTTGAGACTTTCCGCTAGGGCTCATAATTGCGATGATTTATTGTTATGCAGATTTGATTTAGGCAAGCTCGTAATTTGAAACAAGTTAGAAGGATAAGTTCCTTGAATCCTGATTCGTTTCACTATTATTGCGGCATTGGATACGACAATGTATCACAACTATGTACATTGAGTCGTGGGTCACAAGCAGGATCAAGAATGGTGGTGTTATGTCATGTAACAAACTCTTTAATGTGACGAGATCTAATCTCCCGGTATAATGGCATGCCATTACTTCCAATCCTGATCTTGATCATCCGATCTTGATCTTGATCTTGATCTTGATCATCAAATATAGGGTCATTGTATATATGTTGTGAAGAATTAGAAGATGAAATGTATGTTTGTATCAACGTACACATTATTGGAGATGAAATGTATGTTTGTATTATGGCTAACCTTTTTTCTTTTTGGTATGTGCCTAAGCTCTTACCTGTTTCACTTCATACTATGAATGAGGAAATTCATCAACTCCGTCCATCTTAGCTCGGCGATATTAATGGTTCGATTATTTCAAATTTAAATATTTAAATCTCTGCTTCTTTCTTAATAATTAATACATTATTATGTTAGACTTAACAAAAAAATTACAACATATTTTTTATTAAATAAGTTTTGGTTACAAACTCAAAAGGTATTTTGATTATAAAAAAAAAAATAACTTAGAAAATCAACACAAACTGAAATTTTAACGAAATTAAAAATCTTCCATTGATATAAACCAAATTTTTTTTTAGGATACTTCAATGCATATGTTTATATGTTACTGACTTATTTTCACGGATAGAAAAATTAAAGAACAAAGTTCGAAGTCGAACCACTTTCTTTAGGCGGTGCGCTCGAAAGTCGAACCCGTGTTGACATATCAAAACATTGGGACCATTCAATTTTATACAAATGTCCAAACATTATTTCGGTTTGAACCATAAACAAATTAGAAAATTCATTTTTTTATTGGATTCACTTGGCAACAGCCAACAACGAATCAAATCATCATCTAATACATAGTTATATTAGAAGCTGTGAATGTGCCTCCAACTAGACAAAAGCACATGCACCATAAATGATCAAACCCATGAAACTTCCATCTCTCTCTTTTTCCCCTATATAAACTAAGGTCACTTGCCTCAATATTCCATCAACAATATACATCTGATCAAAACTCCTAGAGAGATCTAATAAAATGAAGTCTTTTGCGTTCTTGATTCTCTTTCTCTTTGCAGCACAATCTATGAGCGTCTATGCAGGCAGCTTTCACAAAGACGTTAAAATACATTGGGGTGATGGTCGAGGAAAGATTCACGATAATGAAGGAAAACTTCTTTCTCTCTCGCTTGACAAATCTTCTGGTTCAGGTTTCCAATCTAATCAAGAGTTTCTTTATGGCAAAGCCGAGGTTCAAATGAAACTTGTCCCTGGTAACTCTGCTGGAACCGTCACAACATTCTATGTAAGTAAAATGTAACATTCTTGTCATGTTTTGCTATTTCACAAAAAGTTTGTATATTGAAACCACTTGCTTATTAGATGTTCTAATTTGTGTAGCTTAAATCTCCGGGAACTACATGGGATGAGATTGATTTCGAGTTCTTGGGGAACATAAGTGGTCATCCATATACTCTCCACACTAATGTTTACACAAAAGGCTCAGGAGACAAAGAACAACAGTTTCATCTATGGTTTGACCCAACCGCTAACTTCCACACTTACTGCATCACATGGAATCCTCAAAGGATTATGTAAGTGTATTCTTTAATCAAAACTCCTTCCCTTGTACATATATAATACTTATGTATGAGGATATAAACTCATGAACCAAGATTTTTTTTTTTTCTCTCTAGTTTTACTGTTGATGGGATTCCAATTAGAGAGTTCATGAATGCCGAGTCACGTGGAGTCCCATTCCCAACGAAGCAACCAATGAGGCTCTATGCGAGTCTCTGGGAAGCTGAGCATTGGGCTACAAGGGGAGGATTAGAGAAAACAGATTGGTCAAAAGCTCCTTTCACCGCTTTCTACAGAAACTACAATGTTGAAGGATGTGTTTGGGCTAATGGAAAATCAGCTTGTCCCGCAAATTCTCAATGGTTCACTCAAAAACTCGATTCGAATGGCCAGAAAAGAATGAAAGGGGTACAAAGTAAATACATGGTTTACAACTATTGCGCCGATAAAAAGAGGTTTCCTCGAGGTGTTCCTCCAGAGTGCAGCTAAATTATTGATTCTTTGATTCGTGAATAAGTTACTTGGCATTGTCTTTGTAACTCAATGGTTCTTCTTTTCTATTATTTTTCATTGATTTGTTGCTCATATAAATCTGGTGTTTGTGGAAGATTTTTAAAGCAATAATAAATAATGAGATTTTCTTTTAAAAACTTCATTGGCTTCACTTAAAAGTTAAAACTCGTAAAACTTTGAAAACAGTTCGGTACTTGATGGATAATAAGCTTACCAGATTGGTGTAATCATACACGAACGGCCCAAATTTCAACATACATTTATGTTTGAGGTCAGTTTCAAACTCAGTCGTGGAAGCTCAGTAGGAAATAGGTATTCATTCTTTATTTTAATGTTAAAGCCAAAAAAATCAGCGTGAATGGAGGCGAGAGACGGTGCGATATTTTAGTTGTGGTGGATGTCCATGTCCCACCATATCTTCTTCATTTGGCTTAATGCATGTAACACATATATTTATTTAATAAAATTCTAAAATATAAAATTCAATATATTAATTTGAATTTGTTCTCCATAGAGGTTGGTATCTTATTTTGTGTGTTAATGTGCGGAGATTTAGTTGATTTATCAAAAAAACTTTGTAAACTATTTATATAGTTTTATTGATCAATTATCAACCCAATAGTTTTCGTAAAAATTATTGTTTCTGTAATTTTGAAGTGTGTACAAGGTTTAGTTAAATATTACGACTATTTTGCTCTTTTGGAACGAACGCTAACTATACGAGTCGTCGTAAAATAATCCTATGCGGCGGAGAGGGTTTGCGCTCAAGTCAAAAGTCAAAAGCCGTGTTGACAAATGACCTCAACGCAGGACCAGCATGTGATATATACAAATTAAATGTCCATATACATCTGTTTTATAACAATAAACGAGTAATGGAAACTAGACATTGAAAGACATATATAAATGATTTTTGTTTTTACCTTTTTTTTCTTTATTTTTCTTAAATTTCAACTTTATTCATCGATACCTTTTGAAAATGCCATAATTTGAAATTACAATGATAAGCTTACTATACACTTCAACATTACTTTTTGTCGGACAGTTCAAATTTCAACATTCACTTTACTTTTTTGTCAAAAGGAATTTTCTTGGTCTAGATATGTTTGTTATGTTTAAGGTTTGTTTCAAGATAATTTTAAGAATGGCTTGTTTCATTTCAAAATAAAAAATGTTTTGTACAGGGAGATCGATTAAAACTAAAACAAAATTGACGAGATTATCAGCCAAAAATAAGATTCAATTATGGAACTAAAGTAGATATTTGTCAATACCTAAGTTTTAGGATTATCACTAGATATATTATTGCCATTATATTGGTGTTTATCTTAGTTTAGAAAATTTAGTTTACTTAAATTAAATCAATATCATAAATTTGTTTATTAGGAAAAAAAATGAATCCTTTCTAACAAAATATTTAACATCGTGTTTTGAGATATCACTATCACCTGTATATAAATTCTTGAATTTGTTAAACTACTTCAATTCAATTTAGACAAAAGAAAAGTAGACATATTAAAATACAATTATCTGTCATTCGAACCCTCTATGCGGTGGAGAGGGTTTGCGCTCAGGTCAAAAGTCAAAGCAGTGTTGATAATGATCTTAACGCGGGACCAGCATGTGATATACGAATGTCTATATACATTATTTTCTCTGTTTTGTAACAATAAACGAGTAATGAAATTATATTTTATTAATTTCAATTTGTAACAACCAACAAGAGGTCGAATGAGCCAACTAGAATACAGCCCACGATCAATAATCAAACCCATGAAACTTCCTTCTCTCTTTCCTTTGCCATTTCCAAACACTATATAAACTCATGTCACTTAACTCAATTTTTCATCGACAATACATTTGAGATATCAATACTCCTCCACAAATCTACCAAAATGAAGCTTTCTTGTGGTACAAGTTTTGCGTTCTTGATTTTGTTTCTTTTTGCGGCACAATCTGTGCATGTCTATGCGGGTAGCTTCCACAAAGACGTTCAGATACATTGGGGTGATGGCCGCGGAAAGATTCGCGATAGAGATGGAAAGCTTCTTTCTCTCTCTCTCGACAAATCCTCTGGATCCGGTTTTCAGTCTAACCAGGAGTTTCTCTATGGCAAAGCTGAGGTTCAAATGAAACTTGTCTCTGGTAACTCAGCTGGAACAGTGACAACATTCTATGTAAGTCACATACAATTTCAAAGCATGTTTTTTATCAATCATATTTTACTAGTCCCTAGATTATTGAATATGTTGGTGTTTATGATGACTTTGCGTAGCTTAAATCTCCGGGAACTACGTGGGATGAGATTGATTTCGAGTTCTTGGGAAACCTAAGTGGTCATCCATATACTCTCCATACTAATGTTTACACAAAAGGCTCTGGAGATAAAGAACAACAATTTCATCTATGGTTCGACCCAACCGTTAACTTTCACACTTATTGCATCACATGGAATCCCCAAAGGATTATGTAAGTGCATGCAACCTTTGATCCCTTGTAAATAATCTTATAAGTTTTGAGGCTGTGAGCTCATGAACTAACATTCTCTATTCTTTGTTTTCTCCTTCAGTTTTACAGTTGATGGAATTCCCATTAGAGAGTTCAAGAATTCCGAGTCAATTGGAGTTCCGTTCCCAACGAAGCAACCAATGAGGCTCTACGCGAGTCTATGGGAAGCCGAGCATTGGGCTACAAGGGGAGGATTAGAGAAAACAGATTGGTCAAAGGCTCCTTTTACCGCTTTCTACAGAAACTACAATGTTGATGGATGTGTATGGGCTAATGGAAAATCATCTTGTCCCACGAATTCTCCATGGTTCACTCAACAACTCGATTCAAACGGCCAGACAAGAATGAAAGGAGTACAGAGTAAGTACATGGTCTACAACTACTGCACCGATAAAAATAGGTTTCCTCGAGGTGTTCCTGCAGAGTGCAGTTAAATTGTTGATTCTTTGATTCGTGAATAAGTTACATAGCATTCATTGCCTTTGTAACTCAGATGAGTTTTTTTATCTATTTCTATCATTCATTTGTTGCTTATATATATGGTGTTTGTGTAAGATGTTCTTAAGAAGTAATAAAAATCATTATGGAAAAAAGCTTTTACTTGTAAACTTAATTGGTTTCACTAGCTTGTAAAAAAATGAAACACCAAAGAGACGTGGTTCATTAATTCTACTACAAGAATGCTTGGGAAGAACATAAATCATAGGTTTACTGATATGAAGAAGAATTGATCTATCTGATATGAACACTGTAGTTTTTATGTCTTTGCACTAATTTATTACTTTTTTAGTAAAATATTTTCGATTATAGCTAAATAACAGATACATTGTTCTGATCACTAACACTTTCTCTTCAAGAACACACAAGAATATCCTGACAAAACTCTTTACAACCAAAGTATGGAATCCCAAAATATAACCCCTACTCTGGAAGCCGTGATCACCTCTTCTTCGAGAGTAGCTATATGCGAACCATCTAGGAATTTATATCGCCTCCAAATTTGATCTCCTCAGAATTGATGTAACATGGAACCAACCAATTACTGAGTGATCTTCTTTTCTTCGTTGGGACTAAACCACACCAAACACTTCTGCTTCTGGTCTTGGCAAACAATCATTTTCGAAGTTTGGCGAGAGGGGAATGAGAGACTATATCGCCATATTTACATATTTGTGGACACAATTGACACAACAATCAGAATTCAGGCCTCTTCCCTATAATACCATCACCCAAAAATCTTTTCCGGCCTACAAAGATGGTTCTCTCCTTGCAGAATGGACCGTTTGGGCCCATAAAGGTTGGATTTTCTTGTTGGGGCTTTATTAATCAGTTATCTAGGGTGTTGTTTTTGTAAACATTGATGATAAGAAAACAACAAATGTTTGTACAACCACGGTAAATAAAATCTTGTGAAAACCCATTTGACAAAGAATAATCGTGCATTCTTGAATTCTAAGAAAAATAAAAAATATAAACGAGTTAAGTACTAGTTTTATTATTTATTATTCATGCTTAGTTTTAATTGAAATTGCAGCATGTGTTTTTTTTTTAAGTATTATTATTGTGTTTGAAAGTGCTGGTCCTGATAATAAGAGTAATCCATATATTGACCTAAAAGTCAATGCTCATCTCTACTTCAAATGTCTTCTAGGGCAGGTTCTTCTCGGACTTGCCAATTGGCCATGATAAAAACAAAGTGAAAACTGACTACTTTATAAAATGTACAAAATGACTTGTTACTCAAAAGTGGGTTTCAAAAAGTTCATTTTAGCTATAATTTTTGGATATGTGGTTATATGCGATTGGAAGAGGGGTATGATTGATGCACAAATAAAGTAAATCCATTGTTAGATATAATGCTATAAATAAACCATGATCATCGTCAAATCATCATGCAATAAATTTATAATCTTCGTGTTAGCAGACTATTAGATAATAAAAAAAAAATTAAAAACTAAGCATCACTACGATGCCACCGCAAACATTTTAAGGTAAAGTTTTGATTAATTTACAAGATAGTACAGAAAACAAGTGGCCGACGTGAAGTCGTTATATAAACAAGTGGCTAATGATAATATTAATATTTAATTAGTGATGATTAGAGTTCAGACTTCAGAGAAGTGTTCATAGTAACATCCTTAATATATTATTATTGGCCATAACAAAGTTTGAAACAGACAAGGGACCTAAAGAACAAACCAAAATAATTGATGCACCAGTTACTAATTACGCTTATCCATTGAGATATATGTTACTTAATGAAAATGCCATTCAGCTAATTATTTTAGTAAAAATAACAAACAAAAATATTTGGTTAGGCACAATTTGTTCTGTAACAAATTTCTATGAATAGTTTATTTTCGAAATAATTGTGTGGTTGTGTGGTGAGACACTACAACTCTTTTAAAATTTGACATGCATTGACGAATCCATCGTCATCAGTCTCATCTTCCGTGATACTTGACTAATAGAGAACTTTCAAAGAAATATAACTCTGAAATATCAAACTGTTACTATAAGATTTTGAAAACATTAAATAGTTTAATATGCTTTTTTATTTTGGTAATAAACGTTTTATAACATATGATTTAGATTTGACCGTCTATAACTTTAAATCTCTCGAACATAT